GAAGACAAAACTAAACTAAGGTGCGTGTATTGTCCATGTTAATGGGGGGTGGAGAAGCTCACCTTTCTCACTTTTTCTTCTGTATAGTTGAATACCTTTTTCCCATTATACTATTCATGCATGTGGTAAGAGCAGGTTTCCCTATAAGATTTATTTCAATTGAGTTAATGCAACTAAAACTACTGAGGTCATAAATCCTCTTTCTAATAGAAAGGGTCAGAATGCACAGAGGAATCACACTTTGAAGCTTCAGAGCTACTTAGCCTCAGATCAATCATTGAGCCTTTGTTGATCTTTGCTGCTGAAAGAGTCAACTGTGGGCATGTTAGCATCAGAACTAGATAACCTGCTTCTCTGTATCATCTTTCGATGATCTGCTACATTCTTACTATGAGGTACATGAGCCCATAGCAAGCGGAAGGCAGTCTGATGCTTTGTACAGTGTCTGCTGGGGATATATCTACAGTAAGCATTCATGAAGACCATGTTTATTCATTCAAAGTAAGGTTATTTCCTGAAGACTGCAGCTGATTTTAGGAAGTAACTCATATCTACAATGAAAATGTAAAATTATTATTATTTAGGACAGACCAAAATGTAAGGTTATTTGCAAATTCTAGTATTTTAAAGACTATAATAAAATATTTAAACAGATAAATTGAAAAATAACAACCTGGCAGTAGAAACAGTTTTCAAAACATTCTTTTAACAAAAAACTTGTAAAAACCAGTACCTCCAGTAACAATATTTACTCCTTAATGTATATCAGCTTGACCTCCAAATATCATTGTAGGTTTAAAAATCTTGTGTGCAAAATGGGGACACTTGTTTTGATTTAATAATAAGCTGCCTATCTTTGTCTGGAGCAGCTTCTTCTTTAAAATAGGCATGTTTGTTATTCAGTAAAATTACTCAGGATGGTTGGAGGAGCAAAGTAAAGTAGGTAGTAAAGTAAAGAGTATGGTATAAAAGTACTGCTAAAAGTATATTTTTGTCAATGTACTTAGTTCTGACCCACCATCAGTTCCTTTTAGATTAAAGTAATTTTAGTGCAAACATTTCAAATGTGTCTCTAAATGTAGTTCTTCACAGAGTCAACTAGGTGGAGATGTAGCACTACTGCTGAACACTGAGAGTAGAGTCTGGACTCTGCATGATATCAAACTTTTTTCAAAAGTTTTTTTTTTTTGTTTTGTTTGTTTGTTTGCAAATATAAACCAGGAAAGTTACCCAAACCAAAAACCTGTCTTATCTTTCCTTTTTTATTATTATTATTATTATTTTTGGTAAACAAGGTACGGACTAGCAGCACCCGACTCCCTCTCCCCCAAATGACTCTTGATAAACCTATTTCATGTAGTAACTAGTACTGAATAAAATGTTGTCAATGTTGACTAATTTAGTCGTGACAGGATCTACTTGACAAAATGTGAGTTCCCCATGTCTGTTAAACATGCACAGAACCTCTGCACTGAGTGGAGCTCTGGATGATGAACTGTGGGATCCTAGGTGAATTCTATATTTAACAAATGGGTCATTAAGAACTTGAAGCAGGTATACATTATACGATATCCATAGAGAAGGCATGAAAGCTCCAGGAAGCATGCAGCTCCCAGTGCTTAACAGATGATCAGAAGATTAACTCAAAAAAGTTTAAACTTAGCAAATAGCTATGTGTTTTTCATAGGAGATGATCATAATAATATTTTTCTTAGTCTGTAATAAAAGAAGAAAAAGATTGTGAGCACTGCAGTGTAGAGTTACTGCTGACATTATCATGAGCTGCTGCTGCATTAAAAATAAAGAGCTTTTTCCTTTTTTCATGACTAACCTTTTCTTAATAATGGACTATCATTACTATGGAGAATGGAGTATTTGATCAGGATGTTCCTTTAATTGGCAATTTCCTGTAACTGGGATTACCAATCCTTCTTTCTGCTTTTGAGGATGTTTCTCTATAATTATCAGATGTGCAAATAACCTTGTCCAATGAGGGGAGCAGAGGACAGATCATATTTTTTTCTCGTTCTCTCCATTTCTGGAGAGGTTTTTTTCACATATAGCATGACCTTCTACTGTAAGGCAGTTGGTTTGGGTCTACAATGCCAATACAGAAACCAGAGAATAGTGCAGATGTCAGCAAACGCAGAAAGACTATTGGAGGGTGTTGAAATGATAGTGGTCACGTACGATAGATTTTGTGTGTACAAGGGACTTCCAATTAGCATTACCATTGTATCCTAAACTAATGTTTAAAAACCTTCATCAGTTCTCAAATAATAACCTTTGGAGGGTTTATTTCCATCCCACATCAGCGTCAAAAATGTATGTTATTAGCTTTTTTTCTTTTTTGCAGTTTGAGTTGCTTCAAATATTTTATTCTCATCCGACAGATGGATAAAACTTAACAATAGTTTTTTTATTAAATCATGAGAGTATTCATATCCATCCATCTTTTGCCCTTTTATCCATCAGGGTCACAGTGGGATTGGTTCCTCTCTCCAGCAGTCTATGGACGAAAAGCCGAGTACACGCTTGAAAGGTCACCAGTGTATGAAAGGGCAACACACAAACATGCACACACACACCTATGGAGAATCTGGAGATACCACTAAATCCAACAACCATGTTTTTTTTATCTGTGGGAGTAAGCCGGAGTATCCAGAGAGAACCCATGCATGCACTCGGAGAACATGCAAACCTAATGCAGAAAGATTCTTGGCCAGTAAGCAAACAGGGCACCACAATGTAGCCAGAATATCTGTATTTCAGGAGAATACGTTAGAGGCAGTTAATAAAGAGTAATAATAACTTTCTACAGACACCCCAACCTGCTAACAGGCAACTTTGGAAGATGCTTGACGGAGCCAAAAATAAGGATGATGCCAAGATGACATTCAGTCCTTAAAAACTAACCCTCATCACCCAAGTCCAATAAATATGGGGTTCCATTGGTGCTAAAAATATGCAAATATGTATGTGTGATATGTAAATGTGTTATGCATTTATATCCAAGGAAGTTCTAAACTGAGGTTGGATGAGGGGGATGGAATCCCCCTTCTTTAAAAAATTATAAAAATCATCCCCCTTCCTAAATGACTATCCACTGTTACTGAATGTGTACAATCTCTACTAAATGTTAACAGTAATGGGAATAATATTGCCCTTTCAACATTTGGTGGGCTGTGGGTTTACGAGTAGCCTGGGCAAAATAAATAAAATCAAAGAAGAGGCCTATCATCACTATGAAAGCAGATCCCAGTGGGAAATGTGTCCTCTACATTTGTCCCTAACTATGTAGGAGCAGTGATAGCCATGGCAGTCCAGGGACTGACTGCATTTCTATTGTAAGGTGCTTTAGGCTAATAGACTATATTAATTAGGCTATGTATGCTTCCAAAAAAAATAAATTCCACCAGCCCCTGTGTTGTTTTTACAACTAGACTACTGAGTATGAATATTACGGCTATGTCTATGTTAGGTGTATATGTTATGTGCATGTGTTAGGGGTTTAAATTAGATGCTTTAGTTGGGTACTTATGTTAGGTGCTCATCCATTAGGTGCATATTTAATCCAACAAGCTTAGCTCACCTATCTTTAGGTAGTTGGTTTTTTTTGTTTTTTATGTTCCTGTATCTGTATTTTGTATTTTCATCTCTTTTTATTTATTTTTTTGTATTATTTGTAAAGTGACCTTGAGTGTCAAGAAAGGCGCTGTTAAATAAAATGTATTATTATTATTATTATTTAGTGTACCATGTAGAAAATCTCAAGCTCCATAAAGTTGGATGTATATCTGTGCACAGCCATATTCAATCATATTCCTTTTAGGACTTAGGATTAGCTTAAATTTAGGGAGGGGTTCTGATCCACTCATTTGAGATCTTGGCACATAACATATACACCTAACATAAGCAGCTAACATATCCATATAACATATACATCTAACATAAGCAGCTAACATATCCATATAACATATACATCTAACATAAGCAGCTAGCATATGCATATAACATATACATCTAACATAAGCAGCTAGCATATGCATATAACATATACACCTAACATAAGCAGCTAACATATCCATATAACATATACACTTAACATAAACATGTTCACGTAACATATACACCTTCCCTGGACAACACATACATGAAAACATATACATAGATACATCAACATATTTTTGGCACTAATGAAACCCCATAAAGTAATAGAATAACATTGATAACGTGTTCCAACATACCTTTTTTTTTAGATTCTGCAATCTTTTAATAGCTAAATAATGCTTTTTCTACGTCTGCTTCTGTCTCCTTGAACCCTAGTCGGCCTCGGCAGATAGTCGCTCTCACTGAGCCTGGTTCTGTTAGGGGTTTCTTTCTGTTAAAAGGGAGTCTTTCTTCTCCACTGTCGCTACAAGCATGCTTGGTGTGAGGGATTGCCTTCCAGTCAATGAGTCGATGCAATCAACTGGTGTTCCTTAGATAGAAAATCAATCTAACTGTATGATCTGGTTGAATTTTCTCTGTAAGGTGCCTTAAGATGGCATGTGATGTGAATTGGCACTATATATTTTATGAAATTACTGTTTTATTAAATATAAATTTTATTAAATTACAGTTTTTTTCACAAATTATAACATTTAAGGGTCTAAGTGTGTTGGGTGGAGGGGAGTCAGACAATAGGATAATGAAATCAAATTGTAGGTAAGAATTGTCTTTATTTTGGTGAGAGATTTGGCTGCAATAATTAAATAAGAAGATTTGTTTGTTTGTTTTTTCAACACAACATAGTGTTAAGAGTTGTGCATCATTTTACATCTGTGTCTCGGTTTGACCAGGACCACACCTTCAACTTATCCGCTTGCAGCATACATAGCCTACCTGGAGGATTGCTATGGCAACAGGTTGCCAGTAGCGACGGGGTACTTCCGTGCCTGTGTTACTGTGGCGATGATTGGGAGAGAGAGAGAGAGAGAGAGAGAGATAGAGGGAGCGAGAAAGAGGGGAGGTAAAAAATTAAAGACCGCGGAGCAGCAAAGGGTGAGGTCTGCCGGGCTCAGTCAGCATAGACAGAAAAACAGCCACAGTCAGGCTGGTTTGTTTGTCTCTGCTATGAAGTGAGGAGCCCTGCGGTCTGCGGGACACATCTGCTCACTGCTGCATCTCTTCTCGGTGAAGGAAGCTGAAGGACCTTAGCGCCGCATCCAGCGGAATGGAGAGCTGCTGCTGACTGTGGAGCTCCCCTCAGAACAACAGGTTAGTGTTGTGAGTCGCTCACTTTCTCCTGCACGACCTCCTATTGATCCAGGAGGCGCTTTAATGCGTTTTTACGCAAAATGTGTGGCACCTTTAAAATTGAAATAAAGGTGCAAAAAAAAAAAAAAAAAAAAAAAAAAACGGGACTTGGACACGTTTCTAAATCCAGGCACGTGTCCAGCTTTTTATAGCTGGAGTATTACAAACACCTTTGGCTCCATTTAAACGGCGACACTGTTGGAGACTCCTGCGCTAAATCAGCAAACCAGTGGGTGTGTCTACCTACTATAACGCTCTCCTTCAACGCATTTAGATCTATTAACACATTCATTAAACTCTATTTATAAAAAAAAAAAAAATGCTGTTCATTCAGGCTGATATTTCTTGTGTCATCAACCTTTTAGTTAATCTTTTTCTAACATTGTTTAAATAAAGTTGGAAAACAGATTTCAATAGAAATGTATTATTTTTGATACCTCCTTTTTTATTAATATGGAATAACAGGATTTTGTTTGCTTTGAATCAGTATTTAAATGTAGAAATATATTGCCCACCATGTATAGAAGGCTGTTTATGAAAATGTCATTTTGGTGAATCAATAATATGCATTTTGGGTTCATATTTGCTGTAGATTAAGGACAAAAGAGGGAAAGCTCGGTGATTCTATTAACCTTTTTGTTTTCCCTCTTCACAAACGCCTTTTGAATTCTTTATAACCCTGATTCATAGCAAACACAGACTGTGCCTGCAGCTTATATCAACATCCCTAAAATAAAACTGCATGTTTGTTTTTTTTCTATATTTAGCTCAGTATTTTTGTCACATTCAGTCTAGACTGACAGCTTCCCCCCACATAACTATCCCCGATGTCATCTTGAGCCAAAATAAGTAATTCTGGTGAATTCTTCCCAATATCTAACCTTATTTATTTGTGTTTCTTTCATCAGATGGTTATTAAAGGAAAACAAAGATGATTTGTTTGAGGAGCAGAGACACATTATGTCCTTTTTTTTCCCTGATGACTTCTTTATGAGATGTAAAGCTCTTTCTTAAGTTGTCACTGGGAGCTTAACAGTTTTTCCTTTTTTGCGTGTCTCTGAAAATACTGTCAAGAAACACTCCGAAAGTGTGAGCGCTTAGTCATGGAGCCGCTGATACAAATGCTGGGGGGGCTTTGAAGTGAATTACATAACCTTATAACAAACAGTTGACTGATTTCTGGCCTGAAGTAATAATGCTCTGTAACCTGGCTGTGTCATTGAAAGGGCAAACTGATAATAATATGACAGTAAACGCTGATGTAAAAGCAATTCATAAGAGAAAGAAACAATCTTGTTGCTTACCTTTTTTATATTCTCAGTGAAAGCAATGAATCGCTTTAGTGTAATATCATTTTTGTATTTTAAGTGTGATGGATTACAGGCTGCTGATCAGTGAGGTGGGGCTGAGATCTGCTCGATTTGTGTCTCTTCTGAGTTGCAGAAAGATTCCCCCCCCATTTTATGACAGAGGGAGAAAGCTTCTGCTCTTCTTGTCACTTTGAGTCGTCTCATAACACATTCAGCATTGCTCCCGAGTGATTGTCAGTGTCTGAGACAGCTCTTCACGCTTACTGAGGCATAGCCGAAGGACACAACCTAAAACAAAAAAAAGGGAACATGGGGAGAAATGACTTTTGGTTATGTAAACGTTCCCAAGAATGACAAATCTAAAGATGACTTGGAGGAAAAAAGATCCAGTGGTGTCTTGTTGTATCAAACCAACGATGAATTATCTTCATTTTATTAAAAAAACAAAATGCACTTACAGTAGCTTAGATCTGTACAGATTAGTAGTGGATGAAACCATAATGGATAAAAAAAATTTAGAAAATCAATTCAAAATTATAGATTAAATTACTATCACATTCCTTCCTCAGAATAGAGATTACATCGATATTTTTACTTTAATTTGATGAAGAATCTGTGAAGAGAACTACAAATTAGGATTATGGCAAGGAGGTCTTGGTATCTTGGAGCTCAGATTAAAGATAAATGATCTAATTATCAGGGAAATCAAGGAAAAGCATGGTCATTTGGTAGGATAAGGATTAATTGTTGTTATACCAATAATATTTTGCTGATAACTGAAAGGGCTAGGATTTTTGATGTGCCATTTCAAGATATAATAATGAAAAGATAAAGTTTTATGTTTGAAATTGTAATACTTTCCCTTTATTTCGATAATCAACTTATATTACTTGTCTAATTTTCCTCTCAGGAAAAAAAAAAACTTTCTAATCTTTATTTCAAGTCTTAATCGGCCATGATTTTAAATGAATTCCTGCTTCAGCCACTTTTATACCCATATAATCCTTTCAGATAGAACCGTGCCTGTCTCTTTTGGCAGCTTTCACCCTCTAGAAATGTCAAAGTATTTAATTAACAAGAAAAAAGGAATCGATAATTATTTAGCATCTTGTTGGCAGATACTACAGTGTAAGCAATGAATACAAAAATCTTTAAAATCCTAAATGTCTCTTAGAATGTTTAAATAAACAACTCTTTAGCATTCTTCTGCTGTAGAGATCAAATCTGTTTTCAGCAACATTTCCTCCCTCTGACGATTTTCTCAGCTTTGGAAACAGCATCAAACGGACCCACTTACTGTTTTGGAATTGATTGAATTACCCCTTCCCTGCTTAGCATTGCCTGAAAACTGTCCTCTCATCGATTTTTTTTTTTTCTTGTTGTTGTTTGGCCCCATGTTGTTAGAACGAATGATTCACACAGCTGCCAGCTAATTTCACCAAGAGAAAATAAATTTTATGTTTTCCGTTAAGCTCATAAAACTCAACTCCCACTTTCAGGCTTCAAGGTCAGAAGCGTAGTCGCAGTCTGAATAATTAAATTACATGAAAAGTTATTCTGCATTATTATTCTCGCTGACAAAGAATAAAAAAAACTATATATAGTCAAGGTTTAAAGGTGAACTAAAGCAAAATAGTCATTTGAAACTTCTGGTCATATATAAAAATAAAAACACATCTGTTATGTTTAAATAAACTTGGTTATTCTATGTTTTTTTTTAGAGATGGCTATCTTCAGATTAGCAATTAAATACAGTCCTGTTAGGTTGTTATGTAATATGTAAAAGAAATACTGGCTGTATCGCTGCTTTAAAGCTCTAACCGATGCAGAAGTTCCTCTAAGGGGATAAAACATATTTTTTAATCAGGGTTTTTTGAAGCAGTAGTGATTGGGCGTCTGAGCCGTGGGAGCAGTCAGAACAGTTTCAGTTTGGATAAGAACAGAGGATTTGTGATGATGAAACGGAGGGAACAGCTTCTCAGAGTGAAAAACAGCTTGAGCTTTTAAAATGTTGGAGCTGTAAGAGAGAGCAACACGCAGTCGTTTCCTAATACATTTCTAAAACAAGAAACCGACCGAGTCTTTTGTTTAACTATGCCAAAGGACTGAGCCCTAACATAGATACTTTATTTAGTTTTATCCGCTGATGCAAGTTTGGAAGTTTTCATTTCTTTTAATTGCTGTAAGAACAAAAGTCGATGCAGTAGGGGATGCACCGATGTGAAAATCTGGGCCTTATAGACAATTGTGGAAGATAACCGATATTAATGAAAATCATATATCTACTTTGCCGTTGGACACCATAAAAGAATGATTAGTGTTGATACTGGTTCTCTGCTTCAGTTTAACAACATAAATCTTGGGCATCATTACAGTCAATTAACTAAACAAAAAGCACAGGATCCCTCCCCTCCTGAAACCAAAACAGAAGTTACATGGAAGTGAGAATATTGGTTTTTAATATAAGCCTGATTTTATTTATGAGACCAATACCAGTATGTTTAAAAGCAACAGACAGTGGCCGATATTGATTTCAATATAGCGTTTATTCCCAATATGTAGTATAAATTCAACCTTACAGATTTATTTTCAGGTTTGTTTGTTTTTTTGCTTTGTTTTGTTTCTCTTTGATGTTTTGGATTATTAAATATGTTTTAAAGTCAGACAAAGATGAGCAGCTTTTAATTTTAGAGAAAGTGAAAACCAAACCAAAAGTGAAAAGAAATTGCAACCTATTCCTGGTCATGTTAGTAAAAATGTGCAACAAAATGCATGTGAGCCCTGGTGGCTGAAACATGAGCTGCCTGTGTAAGGTGGTTCACTCATCAAAGCATCTCAATTTGATTTAAGTTAGGCTTATACTTTTATTTATTTATTGCATTTTAAGTTTGGTATGATATATTTTTCAGATCTTTATCTTGCTCATATTAGACTTAAAGTAGTTACCCCGAATCAGTAACATATATTTAATCTACCATTTTCATTTCATTTCAAAAAGTTTATTTCAAACCTGCACACATTTTACAATACATATAATGACAAACAATACATGCATGGCTTGAAAAGGGGATGGAAGAAGCAAAAGCTTATACATGTCCAATCCCCTCCCGCATCACAACTATGACTGTTTTTTGTTTGTTTGTTTGTTTTTTTGTTTGAGATGTTGTTTTAGTTTTACACCAGATATAACAGGTGGAACACCTTCTGAAAAATTAAATTTTGTTCTGCCCGTCAACAGAATGACGATGCCTCTCAGCTGCTCCCTTTTTCAGGGGAGTCATTCCAGACAGAGTCATTCCAACTCGCACACAGACTGGGCAGAGTGTTTAGGCCGGATGCCCTTCACTGAGTCAAACCCAGCTCCCTAGAATTAAAGTCAGATCTAATCCTATAATCACAAGGGACTACTTTTATCTCTACTCTTGGACAGTAGAGATGGCTTTTATGTTCTTTAAAGTTAGCAGCATTTTTTACATCTAAAATTACAACTACTGCACTGATTTTTACTGAGTTGAGTGAACTACATTGTTTAATATGTCTTGAGTTTGTTTGTGACCCCCTGGATGAGTTTGCCATCCCCTCTTGGAGTAATTTTGATATGCTGACCAACAGATACCAGTAACTTCATTACTTATTGTTTAATTTCTTTTATCGGGGTATTATGGTTAGCTTTTTAAAATCCTTTAGCCACTTCATGGTGTAAGTCATTTAGTTCAATTTAACTGAGCTTTGCAAAAATAAAAACCACAACTAAAATACAGTGAATAACTGAACTCAGTATTACTTTACTCTGCTCAGTATCAAACTCCTAGTTTAAGCTTGAAAAAGACATTTAATGTTAAAGAAAACCTTATTGTTTGATCAGTGAAGCCAGATTTAATCTGTTTAAATAAATGGACTAAATTCCTAGTTTTGCAGCTTAAAAAATGAAGAATAGTGATTATTAGGCAAGCCTGATATTTTAGTAGACACCCCAGATAAAGCCTAGCTTGCTCTATTTTTTATTTAAAAGGAAGATTCACTGGGAAAAGAATACGGATTATGTTAGTGGTAACAAATGTCGTGTCTGAATGATGGTAAACATAAATGAAACTCTCCCTACAAAGCTGCCCCTGCAAAGAGTCTCAACACAGAGTGAGAGAGAGAAACAGAAAGCCAGAGAGAGACTTTGCAGAGGCATCTTTGTAGGATGTAACTCCCACCTGTCAGGTGAAACTAGATCTTTAACAACCTAACCTAAGGCAGTGAGAAGGAAAAGACGTGAGGCTACCAAGACATCACTATACCTTCAAACAACCGTGTACTAAAACATTATGTGCTTTATTTGTTCTGTTAAGTCTTTTGGATAAATTATGGAGATAAATAATCATAGAAACACTAAAACTACAATTTAGTGTGGACTTTAATCCCTCTAAGGATAAAAGAGCAGCTTGTGCTTTACAGCTTCACTAAGGTTTGTTCGTAAAGTTAGAGACATGAATGTCTTTTATCATTTATTATTTTTGTTTCCACTAAGTTAGATTTAAACATTTACAGCGTATTTCTTCAGACCCCTGCCTTGGCCTGGTGCTTTCTGCTCTTTGGCTGGAGGGAACCAATTAGTTTTAGCACTTCTGAAGATTTATTTCAACAGGATCTATATATATAGCCCCAGTGCAGAACGAATACCCTCTCGCAACAGTTAAATTTCAGTGGTTTAATCTGGATTAAGTCCAATTTCTACTGACACAAAACAGATTCATTTCAGCAAAGCGTGATTATGATCAAAGTGAATGTAAATTATAGCAGAATTTGGTAAGATTCAGTTAACTGTTTATGGCTTTTTGGTGCAATATCCAAAGAAGCCCAGAAGATTGTTTTGAAGTTTGCAGTCTACAGAATCCCTGAGTGTGGCATAGAGGAAAGGTACCACTTTCCTCTAACTTCCTTTCCCATTTGTCCGAAATAGATTATGGACACTAATTTATCCAAAATATCCTGAGCAACCTCTTGCTAGTAGATGTTATTTATTGTAGTGACATAAACACATTTGCTTAGGAGCCATAAGTAAAATCAAATGTTTAAATCATAATTTCTTAAAGTAGGTACAAAATACAGAGTCTCACACTCCTCGTACTTGTTGATTCCACTTAATCCGGGACCAAGTTGCAGCCTCAGCAGCAACTTCTAGACTTCCTTCTCCCTAGACACCTCCTCCAGCTCCCCTTGGAGAAGCCTGAGGTGCTCCCAGGCCAGTCAACAGACATAGTCCCTCCAGCGTCCAATGGGCCTCCTCCCGGTGGGACATGCCTGGAACACCTCCCGAAGGAGATATCCAAAAAAGATGTCTACGCCACCTCAGCTGAATCCTCTCAATGAGGAGGAGAAGCGGCACTAATCCGAGCCTCTTATCAAAGATCAAGCTCCTCACCCTATCTCTTAGGGAGAGCCCAGCCACCCTGCGGAGAGTGCTGATTTCAGCTGCTTGTATCTGGGATTTTGTTCTTTCAGTCAGATCCAGATGTCATGACCATAGGTGAGGGTAGGAACAAAGACCGACATCAACAAAAAAACACTTGTCCGTACATCGGTCCTAATCACCATATAGGGCACTATACACCAATGGTGGTGACACCATTTTAAATGAGCGTCTAGTGGGTAAAAAAAGTAGTGGACTCGAAATCTCCCCCAATAGACCGTAGAAAGTAATATCTGCTCGTCTCCATGGTCACTAGACAAGCAGATATACCCTGGAATGCTTTGCGAGAGCTCTTCTCGCAAAGCATCATGGGATTTATTATCAAATCGGCCCGCTGTCAGGTATTGTGAGTGGTGACAAATAACAAAGATGGTGCAGGCACTTTGTGGTGAGGTGGAATTGCCTGACCAAAGGTGAGCAAAACTGCCAAACGGGCAATTAATTGGGTTTGCTATAAAGTTCTCTATATAGTCCCCGCTCAGTATCGTGATTGAGGGATTTAGGGGTTAGGGCGGACGTTCGGACGCAGTCTTTATTAATAAAAAGCAATATTTCTCAGTTTAAGAATCAAAACGTGAATCCACAAACCAGTGAGTTAGATCACATTACCGGTACATGTTTTCTGTACAGCTAAACGATTACATTTCTTCAGTTAAGGTCCAACAAAATGACAAAGTAAAGAAGCACTGCTGAATACGGAGATTAGCATCAGAAGGTCACCTTTTCTGATAAAGGATATGGTAAATGAGTCAAAATCCATTTATAGTTAAGGTCCTTGCAGCATTTAACAGGAACTGTTTTCTGCATCTGCCCGGTAATCAGTCCATCATCCTCGTGCTGTAAACCGATCTGGAATCATGCTTCATTAATGGAACCTTGTCTGGGGAAGATATTTATTTTTCCTCATACCTGCCTGTACTCAAAAGTAAATGTTTCTCCCAAATTGAAATTACTGCTGCAGATATGCTGCGTATCAGAGTAACTCACAGAGGACAGGGTTGGAAATGTTCACAGTATCAGCTTGCATAATGATGCCGGTGACTTATCTTCCTCCAGACCAAACTGCCTCCAATAAATGTTGCAGAAGTAAAACTCCTCATTGACAAATTCAGCCCCCTGAAATCTCAGAGTCTCATGCCCAGATGACTCCCCTGAGTTGTTGTTACTCACCAATTAGGCGTGGTGGCCTGAAGCCCGGAAATAGACTCATCCAAGAGCGTAGTTGTTTGGGCTGAGACTTTTTACGTCCATTTACGAATTCTGGAAGCTTATTTATTTTTTCTGGTTTTAATATTTCTGCTGTAAAATCTCAGAGAAAATCTCTAATATCTGCTTGGCTTTTCTCACAGGTCATTTTCTTCCAGCTATTCTTCCCCTTAAATCTTTCAACAAACGACAAAGAGCTGGAGCCGAGACGGTCAAGCATGGATGTGCCCAGGATGGCCGAGGGCCTCTTCAGCAGCACGCTGTCCTCGTCGGGTGGTGGCCATCATGTCCCCTCCTACCTGACGTTGGAGCAAAAGGCGGCATTTGTCTTTGTGCTGCTGCTCTTTATCTTCCTGGCGCTGCTCATCGTGCGCTGCTTCCGCATCCTGCTCGACCCTTACCGCAGCATGCCCTCCTCCAACTGGACAGACCATACTGAAAAAGACACCTTTGATTACCGCATTGTTTGAGGAAACCAAACACATTAGGAACATTTTTTTATTTCATTTAATTGATGCTTACAAAGCACTTTGACCCTAAGTTCAAATGACTGTTCATTCACTTGGGAAACTGAAGTTTTTTCTGAGTTCTGAAAGTTCAAATTGATTATAGGATCAGTGATTAGTTGTGATCAGTCTAACAGCTTCTTTCTACCAAACCGTACGGTTCTCGGCCAATAGATTCACACCAGATCCATAATTTGAAGCAGATCTTCGCACCACTTACTGAAATAATAAGAGCCAATAAGGGTTCAGACAGGAAGTAAAGTCTGATACTAAGAAGCAAGTTATGCTCAAGTCACTAAAATAGACTTTGGACTTGATTTAGACTCATGCTTTTAGGACTTGACTCAGATGGAAGGTCTCAAACAATTTCTGTCTTATGTCATCATGGGTGACAGTGGCCTATCAAGTGTTGATTGGCTGAGTCACAGTATACCCTGATAAAGACTGACTAACATAATAATTTAGCACAGATTGAAAATACCTTCTTTGCATTATTTATGAACAAAAGGAGTTAAATATTGCATTTGATTTATAAATACAGTACCGTTGACATATTGTGGGTTTTTAAGAGTTCACCACTACCTGTTTGTGTTTGTTGCAGAACCAATGAACTCTGAAATGACTTAACTTAGGCGTGAAATAATTCTCTTACAAACATCAATTTAAGAACCTTCGTGGTTCATAAGATAAAAGCACTCCCTGTTCGATTCAATTGGAAGTTTTGAGAACATGAACCTTTTTTACCTAATTTTTTTGCCTTTCTTTGAAACAAACATATTTGTATTTTTAATGGGAAAACATTTTGACCAACTGATTTTCAAAATGATAAAATGATTAATATTTTTGCATAGTTTGATTGAATAGTGCAAAATAACAGGCTTCAGAGTAATGATTTTAACTCATAAGCTAAGGCAGGTCTGTATTTAGGACATATCACTGCATGGATCCTGTGTTAATATTGGTCATTAGAAACTAAAGCCTATTTCATCAAAGCCTGGAGATTTGATTTGCAATGAAAGACTTGAGACGTGACTTTGACCTACACTTCAAAAACCTTATTAAGACTTGGAAAAATATGACTGTGGAACTCTCTGCAGCTCACAATAGCTTTCCTCCCTCCATCTATTCTTTTGTGGACTACCTCACTTCTCCGTCTCATGTATGAAGGTTTTTCTTCACAGCTTACACAGGGTCCAGTGTTTTTGATAAACAATCCAGATTAAATGGTGGCAGTGTTTACATCTGACAACGTTCTAGAATTTTTATGGATAATGTAGACAATCAGTGTTTAAACTAGTTTGAAAAAAAGCGCAGTCTGACTAGTTTGGGTTGTTGAGGTCATTTTTTAAGAGTATTTTCTTAATTTGCAAAGAGGTTTGAAAGACTTATGCATGATATAAACCAGACAGAGAGGAAATATTTTGCTAATGTCTAAATAAGATACAGAAAGATTATTGAGGATCATAAACAGGTTTCAGAATCATAAGGAAGACAGTTTTGGTTGAAAAGGTCCCTTTAATGCTTAGGAACGATTCGTGACTAGTGCCAGCAGTGAGTTACTTACTGTTATGTATGTGTCATGGGAAAGAAGAAAAATAGCTGAACTCTGTTTCCCTTTGGTAAAGGAGATTTTTTGGTTTGAATTTAGTGATAAACAACCAAAACATGGGTTGAAGTAAAAAGAAACATTTACTGTGCTGTACTGTGTGCCTAACTTAAAATATGTTTTAGGTGAAGGAGTGTAATGGGTTCATATTTTGTTCTGCTTTTTTTTTTATTATATTGCTTTTCTGTTGTTTGTATAAATGGGTGCGTGCATTCGTGTGTGATGGCCATTAAAAAAAAAAAAAACTAAACAGCATTTTACTGCCTGCAGTTGGTATATTGACAGTTGGTATGCCAAATCTGCAGAGAGTTGATGTTGAAGATGATGAAGCATTTTCACATCCAACCCTTTACAAACTAATGTTGTGGCTCTTTCTTTGGGCAACTTTTCAACTGTGCGCCTTAGAGTGTAGATTGTTTACATTATCGTAGGTAGCAAACACACTGGAAACAACAGTGTCTTTGCTCTTCACCGATGTCATATAAGTTGTTAAAAATGACTGAAAAACAGTTATAAAGAAAAAAAATTCTCTGATCTTGTCCCTGGTTGGACACGAAGTGAACTGTGATCCTTTTGATGAAATGTAATGTTCTTGTGGTCTGCTGTGGCCTTTTACTGCATAATGCAGATGTTGCAATGTTGTGCTGAAGTGAGTTTTTCCCTCTTGTTTTTCTTTCTTTTTTTTTCTGCACGTGTATTTTGCAGAGTATCCTGTCCGTGCATGATAGATGGTGAAGTGTTTTAATGTTGTACTTGTAGGTCAGTTGCTCAAGCAGCCTTTTTTGCTGTCTGTTTTGGAGCCTTTTGTTTCGATCTGTATTTTCGCCTTGAGCTGCTCTTCTTTTTGTAATAAAAACAATTGGAGCTCACAACTCACTTTTTATGTCTTTTATTTAATCATGTTAATCAACAAGGCTGTAAAAGTTGGCTGAGTTAAGGACAAACACATCGAATGGGTGAGGAAATGGTTCTTTCAATCCCTCCTGACCTTTATAAGGCAGCTGTATCTGCCTGAGGCGCACGCATTTGTTTCCATTTTATCAGGGACTGGCAGGGGTAGCTAGCAGGTGTCTCCATTGTTTTTTTTTTTATGAACCCAGACACTTAGTCTGGATACAAACACACACAGAGAAGTCTCCATGCATTAGACCCAGAACTTCTCTTTTGAGCCAAAACCCTTTATAACGTGCAGAATAACAATCTCCTCTATCCGCCATTCTGCATACGCTGATATGCAATCATCTACACAACAGCAAAAAGCTACTAAATCATTTCTTGCCTCATGTATCCAACGCATCTTTCCTCTGCAAGAGGATTTGTGAATCGTTTGCTAAGTCTGCTGATGTTGCGCTTTCTGTTTCTTATTTATTCCCTTTTTCATGCGAGGGCAGAGGAATAGAGATGTGGATCAGAATTTTAAACAATGAACAGCCTGTGCTCTTTTGGATTATTATGTAAGATGCATCCAACATCTTCACCAAGCCTTTAGTGGTTTTTAATAGTCAGTATATTAAAAAGGAAAGCTATCCATTATTGATAATATATTGCACTTTGAGGATAAACATTTATCTTATGGTCATAAAAAGCAGGAGGAACCACTCTGTTTCATAGATGTAAAATAATAAAATGACTTAAATACAGCCTATATATGCCATGCAAGTTCACCAAAAACATGTCACCTGAAGGCAGATGCTCCATTTAAAAAAAAATAACATTCTGTATAATTTTGGCTAGTTATCGTAGGAAAATGACTGTTGCACTGAGTCTGATTTTGCAACACACCTTCATCCTGAGTAAGCGTGTGCTGGCCTTATTTTAACCTGGAAAGACACAAACAGATGACAAGCAACAAGTTGAGAATGTTATTGAGATGAGAAATAAAGCTTTTGGCATCCCAGTGGAAGATATAAGCATATCAGAGAATGTTATGATTGAGCAGGTGACATTGGTGGTGTAAGAGAGAAGTAGGAGCAGTGGTGGCTAGTGGGGTTTTCTCCAGGCAGGGCTACAAATTCAAAATAGAAGCATGCCAAAAACCAATCAAATGTATACTAAGTTATCACACCTGCATATTTATAAGAATGCCAACAACAAAAAACAATATAAAAACACCTTAAAAACGAAAAACATGTACAGGTTTACTTTTTGTACATACATTTTGCCCTTCTGAAGCTTTGTGGAGGCAACTGTGTTTTACATGGTCTAATATGGCATCACAAACCTAAAAAAATAATGTAACAGTTTAGCTATTTGTCAGCTTTATATTTGTTTTTATATATAAAATCTTTCTGAGATTGTGTTTATTTAAGAACAACTATGCAAATTAACAAACATCTAGAAAAAGTAAACTATTATATTATTTTCCATGTGAATCCCAGATTGTTCATGCTTCTTTGTCTTTTCTAAAAAGTGCTTTAAATCAGTCCTACCTTTCTTTATCCATAATGGGTCAGATCCTGACATTGGAAAAAAGGAGGCAGGGAAAGCAGAATAAAGCATTAGCCTCGCTGCATGCAGTTAGCCAAGCCAATTTTGATGTTTGGCTGAATAGGTCCAAACGTTTTCACCCCCAGCTTCTCTTGGTGAGTTTGCTTCCCTTCCACGACGTTGCCTGTCAATCACCCGCACTACAACTGTGAAGACAGTTCCTATCACTTCAGGCCATAGCTTTAGTGCACCCAAAGCTCCACTATACTTCTGTATTGCAGACGAGCTACTGCGCCTGTACAACTTTTAACAAGAGTCAATGAGCAAACATTTTTGCGCCCTAGTAGCAAAAATACATCACTAATCCGATGAAAAAATGAAACAGCTTTACTCATTATTAAAAATAAAATATTTATCTTGCACAGCTAAAAAATATATATTAGAAATATTTTTATCTTATAATTTAATTTTAATTTGTTTTGTTTTTTTTATGTTTCAATTATGGTGATTGGGTGGGTAGGGCGGCGCCCTAGCTCCCTCTATTGGCCAGCCACCACTGAGTAGGAAAGGAAAATGAGGAGGATGGTGGAGATGTGGGGGGTGAGGGTTGAAACTTGATGGGGCTGAAAGCAACACAGTCTTTTAAGGCAGAGTCCTAGATGATGAGTGGCCATGGCTGAGGTGTGCACAGGGCTGATATGCTTGCAGCAGCAGAGCATCAGAGGGTACATGAATGAGAGGTGAGGCTTAAATAAATCTTTCAGTCTGAATTTTCACTTAAGCTTTATTTAACAGTAAAAAGTCTCAGAAAAACCAGGCTTTATAGGGAGGCTGTCACTTATGTGGGTTGGAATTCAGAAGATATACAGAAAACCTCCAGAAGCACTAGATTTACTTCCTATGCATTGAAAAAAAAAACTAATCTTGTGGAAACCATAGCCAGTGTTGGGCACGTTACTTACGCCGTTACTCCCATCACTGACCATAGCACCATCAGTCGTTACAGCCAGGATGAAGACCCAGATTAATCGAGAAAGACTCAGACTGGTGTCCTTTCTATGGGCAAAAAAAAAAAAAAAAAAAAAAACTGAAGGGATTAAGCCTGCAAAAATGTATGACAACAAAAAGTCTCCCAATAACTGCTTTAATAGACAGCACCTTCTATTAAAAGAACAAATGGAGAGTGTGCAAAGTTAATAGCAGTAAATGCTCAGGATTAAAGACTAAATGCTTGTGTTATGGTTTATTCAGTGCAATTACAGGCAGTTAACTGAGCTGTTGATATAAGCTGAAGCTGGACTTCAACACACTATCACTTTATATCAAATCTCTGCTCAGGGGGTTTCAAATTCTGATCATTTCAACTGATACCCAAAATAGAGACCTATCATTTGGGAATGAAATGGCTCATTTTCTGTCCCTAAAATCTCATTAGCTCTTGCCAAACAAACCGTCTAATCCCTTCTAAACACACCCTTACCAAGCCAGTTGAAGCGTTGGCTAGGAACACAAGCTATTATGAATCAATACCACTGTCATGCTTTTTGCAACATGACTCACAATAAAGAAAGACACATTGGTAATTAAATTATTCTTTGTCTCTGCTGTGCATGCTCAGATGCCTTACACCGAATTTATTCTGTCCCAAACGCCTCATTTCACTATTCAGCCTGCATGCAATTTAATGCTTTCTGAACAGGTCGGAAGGGATTGCTCCCCTGTGAATGTTTGAATGTGAGTTGCTGAGCAAGATGACATAAGATGACTTAAGGGATGGAGTATTGATGTTAGATAATGAATTTCAAGCAGTCCTTTTTATTCTCAAGTGCTGATGACTTTCCATCACATCCTTCTTTGACGAAGTTTAAAGTTTCATAGAACATTTCCAGGAAAGAAAAGGACGCTGCAGGATATTTAAGTATAACATTTTAGAAAGAGCATTACTTTGCTGACATGCTATACTTTAAGTAGATTATTATTATAAAATGGATGCATGGAGGGAGGCTTCATAACA